TTCACATAATATAAAAATTTAATCAAATTTGGAGAATAAATTTATAATTAATATTTAGGCACTTTTAAATTTTTTCAAATTTTTTAACCGTATAGTAGTTTTAATATATATGAATATGTATATATTCACATATATTTATTACTTCTAGTAATCATATATCTCTGTTTATCATAATCTCTGTTTAAGGATCGAGGTTCTTCAGTCTTTTCACATAATATAAAGATTTAATCAAATTTTGAGAATAAATTTACAATTAATATTTAAACACTTTTAAATTTTTTCAAATTTTTTAACCGTATAGTATAGTTTTTACATACATATATACATATATATATTATATAAAAAAATTAAAAAATTAAAAAAATTAAAAAAATTAAAAATTAAATTAAATAAAAGTTAAAGTTTAATTAAATTAAAAGTTAAAAAATTTAAAAAAATTTTAAAGTGTCTAAATATTAATTATAAATTTATTCTCAAAATTTGATTAAATTTTTATATTATGTGAAAAGACTGAAGAACTTCGATCCTTAAACAGTGTAGTAATAATAATAATAATACTAATATGAATCCTTAAACATGTAATAAGAATAGTAATAATATGAAAAAAAAGTAATAATTATATGTAAAAAAAATTGGCCCATATACAATCATATATATATATACAGGGTGTCCCAGAACTGGCGTACCGCCAGAAACCAGCGTATTCTCCGTGAAATTCTAAGACGAAAAATTCTTTACCGAAACGCGATCCGATGAATAGAATTTGAACGGTAAGCTATTGAAGTTCACGAATGGACGCGCGTGGAATTCGCGCGGTCAGGCACGTCCGAGACTGGCGCGAGGCACTTCAGACACTTGCTCGTGTCATAACGGATCGCGTTTTGGTAAAGAACTTTCTGTCTTAGATTTTCACAGAGAATACGCTGGTTTCTGGCGGTACGCCAGTTCTGGGACATCCTGTATATCTCATTGCACCCGATTGACTACGTTACGATTGGACACAAGCCAATTACAGCCCATACAGAACATAATATCTGTTAACATAATATCTATTCGATATTCCTCATATCCATGATAGGACATCCATAAATCTCTAATAAATAGCTAGTAGACATCCTCTATACATCCAAATGTCCGTAATACAAGATCTCAGAAATATCCATAAGATATCTAAGCCAATCGATTACATATTTATATACCCAAATAGCACAAAAATGATGATTAAAAATAATGATTAAATGTAATAATGTGTAAATGTTTATGAAATCAAAATAAAAACCATTATAAAACATTTAAAAAAACAATGTACGGATTCCAAGGGAATCATTCCTTCCAAATTAATATCCAGATCTAACGGTCACCCATCCAAGCCATGACCGCCATCAATGCTGCTTAACATCTGAGATCGGGAATTTCATGATGATCCATGAATACTGTTAATGGATACAGATTCATAATAGATTAGTTCAATAAGTTATCAAAAAGATATATATTTTTTTATAAATGTTAATATACAATTATAAAATGATCGATAATCAGAATGACAGTAAAATACAAATACAACACAATGTAAAATACTGGATCAAGAGAAGTGAAAGCGTCTCGAACCAAATGTACGCAAAAATCTTTTTGCGTACATTTTTTACATTATTTTTATAGGAAAATTAACAACAATTACTTTTTATTACCAAACAACAATTATTTTATAATTTTTAGTTATGGGGGCAAAATTTAATAAAATTTCGTCATAAAGTAGTTAATACTATTTACGTGTTAATATTATTTAAATAATTATTCAGTGTGTTTTGATTAACACATACGTATATATTTATTAAGTATCTCCGATAAATATTTTGTTAACATAGCTATGTAGATAACAAATATCTAATTTTTTTATATGTTTAGTATCTCCGGTAAATATTTTGTTAACATAGCTATGTAGATAACAAATAAATATCTAATTAGATATTTATTAACTATAATAGTATTTATTATAGTTTATTATAGTTTATTATAGTTTATTATTAACTATAATAGTATTTATGACGAAATTTTATTAAATTTTACTCCCATAATTAAGAATTATAAAATAATTGTTGTTTGGATAATTTTCCTATAAAAATAATGTAAAAAATGTACGCAAAAAAATGTGTGATAGCTGTTTAGTAAACATGGATATGTAGATAATTATTAGATATCTACTAGTTATCCATAATGGATATGGATAACGTGTATAGATATGTGGACATCCAGTAGATATCTATTATATATTTTGTTCTGTATGGGAGCGCTTGGAAAAGCTTAGAAAAGCTTTAGGCACCGGTCGCTGTGAGTGGCTGTGTCCAATCGGGATCCTCCCGTAATAGTTTGTGTACACGGATGCTTTTAATGATTAACTGCTACCGATCATTTATTTATTATTATATTTTATTATTATTAAGGCGATCGTGGCGCAGGACGTTGCGTGGCAGCTTACTGTGCCGAGGATCCAGGTTCAAAATTATCCAGAACTACGGTGCTCTGAAATGCGCTGCCAGTGCTTTACGGCGTAATTTGGTGGCGCAAATCGGAAACACAGTCTCTGGAAAGCGATCGCTACATCTTGGAAAGGCAAGGCAAAACCACCGAGAGTATTCCTGCCAAATAACAATATCCGATGGAGAGGGGTTTCGATGAGTGATATGGACCTGGTGACCGACACGGGGCTAAACGGGGCTTGGTGTCTGGCGCTAAGTCTAAGATAGGACCAATGTCTAGCGCAGGAGCTGAACAAAGCCTAGTGTCTGACATGGATCTGAGAAGGACTGCAGATGTCTGGCACGAGGGCGAATAA